AACTAATATAAATCAAATTTAATATAAATCAAATATTTATTTAATATAAGTCAAATTTTAATATAAATCATGAATTTAAAATAAATCAATTTTATTTATACTAATATAAATCAAATTTTAATATAAATCAAATATTTATACTAATATAAGTCAAATAAGTCTAAAAATTGTTCAAATCGTGTAACAGCATGGGATATTTATCCACCCCACGAAATGTTTAATATCTAAAAAAAAACAAAAAAAAACACTAAACTAATTGAATTTCTTTTTTCCAGAATTTCAGATATGACGTTTCGGTTAAAATCGTTTTGTGTTAGCTCCACTGTCTTCCCAAATGAGCAAAGGTGAGAGGAAAAAGATCATTCAAGCCTTCAGTAATGATACCAACATTCATACTCTAGGTTTCATCTTCAAAGACCATTCAAGAACCATCAAGAGAATGGTGAATAAGTTTTAAAAAGAGGGAACAGTAGAGAGGAAAACTGGATCAGGAGGTCACAACAGGAACAGGGGTCATCATTTCAACTTGGCGCTCAATGCATTCTTATTGTTTAGTCCACTAGGGTTATAAAAACACGGAGAATTCCAGTTAGTTATCTTTAATCATTTCTAAGATACAAAGATTCAAAGCTTAATCTTACAATTGGACAATTTTCCTGTTACACCCGATAAGTCATATATTTTTAATCGGTATCTCTCCCATGCAAGGCAGTAAAGCCACTAAGGCACAAAGGATTACAAAGTGTGGATGAACTAAGAACAAAGCATTAATAATGAGCAGGAAGAGGAAAGAGTAATCAGGTGGACAGTAGATAGCGATTGACATTGCATTTAAATTTTTGCACATTAAAGTTGGCTGGAAAGCATGGAGCCGGAAGGGAGTTCCACAAGCTAACTCAATTGTAAATTGATGAGATCTCGACGCCAGTCTAGTACTGCGCTTAAAGTAAAAAAATGTCTAGGTACCCTAGAGACGAGCTCACCCGAACAATTACCATAAAAGTATTTATATTAATATAAGTCAAATTTAGACGAATAATTTGTCTGATATTCCCTGCTATTTTCAAAGTGTGGAAAGTCGTATTTTTCATGGAAGAAAAGCTTCATCATTTTGAATAGGATAAAGAAACAGGTATTAATATATTTTTAATTTGCTTCAATCCAAGAGGAAAAGTGCGAATTTCAAAATTTGGCTTATTTAGAAAAATACCACTAATATTGTTATTTTCAGATTAATTGAATTTTAATAGAAAAATGCAACTGAGGTTCATGCTCACAGCAATCTTCAGGGGGTGATTAGAGGTTATAATCAAGATCGTCTGCCAGTTTTACTATATTGGATTTACTATTAAAACCGGAGTAGATAGTTGTGTCACCAGCATATATACCTAGTTTGGAAACTGTTAACATAGGTTATTGATGAAGAAATGAAGTAGATCCAAGAATAGAGCCCTAGGGGGTCACCTGTATTAATGTGAAAGGATCTAGAAGCGTTGCCGTTCAACTCGACATTAATTACACAATATGTTAAGAAAGTTTGGATCAAAGCAACAATTCGGTCGGAAACACCCTAGCTCTTCAGCTTGAGAAGAAGGCCTGTATGCGAAACCCTGCCAAATGCTTTCAAGGTATCTAAAGCCATAGCCTGAGTACACCGTTCTTATCTAAAACCATAGCCCGAGTTCCACAGTTCTTATCTAAAGCCATAGCCCGAGTTTCACCGTTTTTATCTAAAGCCATAACCCGAGTTCCACCGTTCTTATCTAAAGCTTGACAGACACTTTTAGCAATAATTATTAGCACATCGGCGGTTAAGCTAGAGAAGTGAAAGCCATATTGTTTATCTGAGCGAAGGTCGCGTGATATGAAATGCTTAACCAATTCAGACTTGATTAGGGTCTCTAGTACTTTGTCAAAAGCGGTAAATGACTAATAGAATGTTAATTCGAGAACGTTCTCCAGGAACTACAGAAGAGGATTTCGAACAAGTTGGAAATCAAAAAGCAGCAAAGTATTTGTTGTGGAGTTTAGAAAGAAGCCAGGTCAGAAGCACCATTCCTTATGACAATTGCGGGGATAATCCGCATGCCTTGTGGGATCTAATTTGGAAGTGATAGCAGAAACCATGGAAGGGTTTATATGTATATCACACGGGATATATTCCGTTCTAGATGGAAAATCAGGCAACTTTACACCTGATGAACGCTGAGTAAAGTTGGAAGAGAATTTACGAGCAAAGCATTTTGCTTTATCAGCAGTAGATGACAACGAATAAAACTGATTGAAAGGAGGTGGAATTGAGGATTTATCATTATTTAATACACATTCATACAGAGTAGAGATAATAATTGCGAGAAACTAATTTATGAGAGGGTATAGAGCGTCTCAGGCTATCAACAAACAGTGATTTATTCTCGTTAAGGATACGTTTACACTGTAATGAGCGGATACAATGTTCCGAAATGTCATGTTGGTATAGCCGGAAGAAGTGATTCCTGTGGGATATAGCGGCTGAAAAGGCAAGAGTAAACCAAGAAGAAGGTTGCGGTTTCACTTGGTATTTGCACAATGGCATGAAAGTATCGCTGCTCGCTTTCACCCAGGAAGAAACCTCAGTGGCACTATTCTCAAAGGGAAGATTGCAAATTTCACTCGAACGGGCGGCGCAAAGAAAATCACGAAATAAATCCCAATCAGTGCGTTGGTAACAAAAATGATGTCTAGTGAATAGGGGTGTTCTTGTCTAAGAGACGAGTGGAAAAAAAACATCAACAGACATTACTGTGTGACCCGAGTTGTCAAGAGGACAGAATTGCAAAGCACAACAAGTGTCCACGAAGATACGACTGCAGTACATGAGGTGCCCCTACGAACCTAGGAGGTCACGGGATTCGTGATCGTTACACACACACACACACACACACACACACACACACAGATCTATTTAGGTATATATTTAATTTAAAGAGGTTTGCTTGAAACGAGTCTGTTGTAATATCTAGAAATATAATTTCAAATGCACCATAATTCATTATCAAAAAAGAAAATGATTCAAAGTTGATGAAAGCGAGATAGATATGAATAGACTAAAAGAGATAGATAGATAAATATGAAAAGAATGGGATATATATATATATATATATATATATATATATGTATATATAGAGAGAGATAGATAGATATGAAAAGAATGGAATAAGTATGAAAAGAATGAGATAAATAGATAGATATGAAAAGAAAATGATAAATAGATATGAAAAAAATGGGATATATATATATATATATAGAGAGAGAGAGAGAAAGAAAGATAGATAGATATGAAAAGAATGGGATAAATAGATATGAAAAGAAATTGATAAATAGATAGATATGAAAAGAATGGGATATATATATATATATATATATATATATATATATATATATATATATATATATATATATATTAAAAAGAAGAGAGTATATTAAAAGCAAACGTTTTTGGTTGTAATGTGGATTTATTTAGAAAAAAAATATTATACTTTGTTTTACATAATTTTACTACGACACGTGTTTCTGGTCTCGCGACCGTCTTCAGGTAAAATTGGAGATTTTACATATTATTAAAAAAATAATTAATTTTTCTTCATGTTCAATGTGAAATGTTCTCGATATGAGACATTCTCTGTTTGTGTGTTGGCAATCCGAATTTTCTTTCTAGAATTGTCAATGAAGAGTTCTGCGTGAAGGGTCATAAAACAATTAAGGTTTGTCCAGCGAGTAGTTATCGGCATTTAATCTTTTAATGTTTTAGTGACCCCTATGTGCTCTTGGATCTGTTTCTATTTTGGTGTGTTCCTGTCAGCATGCGTGTATATATGTATATATATATATATATATATATATAAATAGATAGATATGAAATGAATGGAATAGATATGAAAAGAAAGTGATAAATAGAGAGATATGAAAAGAATGGGATATATATATATATATATATATATATATATATATATATATAGATAGATAGATAGATATGAAAAGAATGGATAAATAGATAGATATGAAAAGAAAGTGATAAATAGATAGATATGAAAAGAATGGGATATATATATATATATATATATATATATATAGATAGATGAATAGATAGATATGAAAAGAATGGAATAGATATGAAAAGAATGGAATAGATATGAAAAGAATGGGATAGATAGTTAGATAGGTAGATATGAAAAGAATGGAAAAGATAGATCTAAAAAGAATAAGATAAATAGATAGATATGAAAAGAATGGAATCAATAGATAGAAAGATAGATATGAAAAGAATGGAATAGATATAGATATATATTAAAAGAATAGGATAGATATGAAAAGAATGGGATAGATAGATAGATATGAAAAGCATGGGGTAGATATATAGATAGATAGAAAGAAAGATAATAGATATGAAATGAATAGGAGAAATAGGTAAATTAATATGAAACTAATTGAAAAGATAGATATGAAAAGTATGATATATATATATATATATATATATATATATATATATATATATGTGTGTGTGTGTGTGTGTGTGTGTGTGTGTGTGAACAGAATGGGATAGGTCAAGAAATAAATATTGATATGAATATATATATATATATATATATATATATATATATATATATATATATATATATATATATATATTCCATACGGGATAATTATAATTGGTTTACGAACTGCATACCAGATCGATTATTTGTGCTTACTAGTTATATTCTGTTTAAAATGTTAGTCTACCTCAGAAAGAGAACCTTTTTGTTCCGTCGAACAAAGAAGTTGTTATGACTGCGACATATTTAGAAGATTGCAACCAGTTAAAAAAAATGCGTGACAGAAATTCAAAACGAGGTTCACTGTTTCTGGCTTAAAAAACAACAAAATAAATAAATCAATGTTTTCATTTCTTTCTCTTGTCCATCTGGCATTTTTCATGACATTTTTTTTTTACATATACTGCTTCTGACTTCTTCTCCTCTATGCTCTCATCTCCTTACTCTCCGTCTTTTCTATCCTCCCATTTTATTACTCTCCCTCTTTGCGATCCTATTATCATCTTACTTTCCCTCTTTTCTATCGTTACACCTTCTTTTTCTCCTCCCTCTTTCTCCTCCCATCTTCTTACTCTTCCTTTTCTCTATCCTCCTATCTTCTTACTCTTCCTCCTCTCTATCCTCCCATATTCTTACTGTTCCTCTTCTTTATCCTCCCATCGTCTTACTCTCCATCTTCTCTATCCTCCCATCTCCTTACTCTCCCTCTTCTCTATACTCCCATTTTTTATTCGCCCTCTTCTCTATCCTCCCACCTTCTCATTCTCCATCTTCTCTATCCTCCCACCTTCTCATTCTCCATCTTCTCTATCCTCCCATCTTCTCATTCTCTTTCTTCTCTATCCTCCCATTTTCTTACTCTCCCTCTTCTCTATCCGCCCATCTTCTTACTCTTCCCTTTCTCTATCCTCCCATCTTACTCTCCCTCTTCTCTATTCTATCATCACCTTACTCTCCTTTTTCTCTATCCTCCGATCTTATTACTCTCCCTCAATATTCATCTCTCTGTTCTTCTCTCCTTATTCAAGCTTGTGTGCGTGTGTGTGTGCGCAATTACATGCTTGTCTGTTTTTCATTACAAATAACATCAAGTAAAGACTTCTATATCGTACATTTTTAACAAACTGCTTTCACACCGTCAGACTTAAATATTATCGTTTGAAAACCTATTTTCTCTTTTTAAGACCATCACTACAAACCTATCGCATGTACACATCTAAAGGTCATCTATGTCTCCATTGAATTATAATTATAGACAATATATAGTATTATCAAGCAAATCGAAGCTTTTGCAATTGATTTTAACCAGGTGATATTAGTAAATGTTTCAGTATATCCGTATGATAAATATGACATATATTTTTGTACTAGAAATATTTAGATATATATATATATATATATATATATATATATATATATATATATATATATATATATATATATCAACATGGATCACAAGAAAAAGATCTAATTTCAAAAGAGAAACCAGATATCGTAAAGACAGAAAAGCAATGGCGACAGAAACTTTGGAAATCACAAAGAATTGAACAAAAAACAGATTGAGCATTTTCTCTAGCGGAATAGTCAACAATCTGACATTACTTAAAAGACGAGAATCAGGAGACATTGATAATTACAGCTGCGTTTAGAACACATTAAACAAGGAGGAGTTGAAAAGTTATTGGCCTGACCCTCTTTCCATAATCTGAACAAACCTTGTTTGGTTGATTTTGTTTCGCGGCATATCAACACCTATATAGGTTATTTAATGTCAAAATATAAATATTTTGAACACGATTCTATGGCTCCAACTAAATATATTTTGAAATCAATTGAAATGAAATAAAATGTATTGTTGGTCATTTTGCTATAAAATGTATTGTTGGCCATTTTGCTATAGAATGTATTGTTGGTCATTTTGCTATAAAATGTATTGTTGGTCATTTTGCTATAAAATGTATTGTTGGTCGTTTTGCTATAGAATGTATAGTTGGTTGTTTTGCTATAGAATGTATTATTGGTCATTTTGCTATAGAATGTATTATTGGTCATTTTGCTATAGAATGTATTGTTGGTCATTTTGCTATAAAATGTATTGTTGGTCATTTTGCTGTAGAATGTATTATCGGTAATTTTGCTATAGAATGTATTATTGGTCATTTTGCTATAAAATGTATTGTTGGTCATTTTGCTATAGAATGTATTATTGGTCATTTTGCTATAGAATGTATTATTGGTCATTTTGCTATAAAATGTATTGTTGGTCATTTTGCTATAAAATGTATTGTTTGTAATTTTACTATAAATTGTTATTGTTGGTAATTTTACTGTAAAATGTATAGCTGGTCATTTTGCCTATTGCCGCTAATTTTTTTCTATAAAAATGTATTGCTTGCATTTTTACTATAAACATGTATTTTTATACTTTCATAGTGTACTGTTTTTTTTTGGGTGGGGGTTGTATATTTGCCCATAACGGAAACCCTAGCAGGTGTTACCACCCGGAGTCAGGGTGAATCTGGGAACAATAGCGATTAAGAGGTGGTATCACGCTCCTCAAAACCTGAAATCTCCCAATCACAGGCTTTGCTGCCGGTTGTAGTTTATCGTCATACCCAGGAATACTGAGCAAATGACCAGGCATCTGGAGAACTTTACTCACGGCAAAGCAATACTGCTTTGCAGGCAACAATGGATGCAAGCAGAGAGATACCTGAATTTATTTACTAATGTTTACTAAATACAAGGCACAAGAGCCACTCAAGACAGAGGATTACTGAATAAGGTATGTGGTATGAATGTCCGAATAGGTAGATGGAAGTGAAAATTATAACATTAGAGCGATTTTTAATCATACAGCCACTCAGCGAGAAGACCGAGAAGAAATCGCAGACATGGAAAAAGAAACGATATAAACGAAATAGCGTCCATCTCCTCAAAGAATATAGAAAGTCTATATCCAAAGGAAAAGTGTAAAGATCAAAGTTGGAGGAAGCAGGGTGTATATTAGAGTCTCTGGGAGGAAGTCCAAATAACTGACAGGACGCTGATGGAGAGGAATCACAAAATCACGAAAAGAATGCGTCCAATTGTCTGAAAAATCTCTTTGAATAGAGAATATAATAGTCTTAATCTGTCAGTAACGCATGCATTGATTGCTGAAAATTCCTTTCTTCCTGGTTTTCCATGCGTTTCTATCATAGAATAATAAAATATGTGAAATAAAAGAAGGATAAAAGAAGCTGTTCGAGAAAAAAGAAAAAGTAAAACTGTTTGGAATTTTTAAATTCACGCTGACCCCACCCGAATCCAGGCGTCAAGACCCGATCGTCATAAAGTAAAAACGCTAGCCTTCCAATGAATGCCGTGGTTTCAGTCGATCACAGGGTGTATATTAAACAGAGCGAATCGTTAGATAAACAGCAGGACTTTTTTGTGAGAAAAAATGTTGAATAGAAAAATTTGTAGTCCTACTCATAATTATTAGAGTACTCTGAACGGTTTCAAAAGCTCCTGTAAAAAAGACAGAAAAACTTTGAAATATGGAGAAGAACACTGATATTATCCTGATGACAGCATTATTGTAACTGGCAAAGATACTGAAAAAAAAAAAGTGCCGGAGGACTAAAAAAGACTTGTGGCACTTTAATCTGGCGCTACAGGATGTTCCGAAACGCATGAGATTTAGCCAGTAGCAAGCAGCACTTGGCTTCTAGTGGAAGCAGTACTGGGTATATCGGTAAACTTCACCAGGCAGCAAGACCTCTGATTGGGAGATTGGAGGATTTGAAAAGTGTGTAACTACTTCTTAATTGCTGTTATTCCCAAGTCCACCTTGATCCGGTGTGGTAGTACCTGTTAGGGCCCCAGCTATGCGCAAATAATGAGCCTCAAACAAAAACAAAACACTATGAAAATACAAAAATACATTTTTATAGTAAAAATACCAGCAATACATTTTTATATAAAAATTATCAACAATACCTATTTATAATAAAATAATGCATTCCTATAGCAAAATGACTAACAATATATTTTATTTATAGTTGAAGGCATACAATTGCGTTCAAAATATATTTAGTTATAGAATTGTGTTCAAAATATTTAGATTTCATCATTAGATAACCCATTAAGGTTGTTGTGGAGCTAAAAAATGAACCAAGCAATCAACATGAAAGAACTCTTTTATGACATTAATCCCTATAATATCCTAATTCATTAATCCATATAATATCTTATAATTTCTTAAAGAAATCTAACTGTATTCCAAAATATGACTTCAACATATCTACAACATAAAACACACATATCACCGCCTCTAGTAATGATGTCCATATGTATCTGCACAAAAGCTGAGTATCATCTACCATGTATTCAATTGCGAAAGCAGAATAACATCTATCATATTTTATTACTTCAAAGCCTTCAAGAAAATTAAATTTCAGCATTTTGACCCATAAGTTATTTGTAGACATAATTACTAGAGGCGGTGATATGTGTGTTTTGTTTTGTCAAGTTATATTTTGGAATACAGTTCGATTTAAGAAATTGTAGGATATTATATGGATTAATGTCATGGAAGTTAATGTTGGTTGATTTTGTTTAGCGGCATATCAAACTCTATGAGTCATTTAATGCCGAAATCTAAATAATTTGAACACAATTCTATGGCTTCAAATAAATATAGTTTGAACGCAATTGTATGCCTTCAACTATAGAAAAAATGTATTGCTTATTATGTATTTTCGTCTTTTTTATACAAATATATTGCTGGTATTTTTACTATTAAAATGTATTTTTATACTTTTATAGTGCTTTTGCTTGAGGGAGGTCACTATTTATTCATAGCTGGGACCCTAACATGTGCTACCACTCGGGGTCATGGTGGACCTGGGAACAACAGTAATGAAGAGATGGTTCCAGTCTCCTTAAAACCTTCAATCTCCCGATCAGAAGCCTAGCTGCCGGATGTAGTTTATCGTTATACCCAGGACTGAACTAATTAAAAAGAAATAGTTATTATAAAAAGAAGAAATGAAAGCTGAAAGAACTGGAAAGCATATATTTAGAAATTCACGTGTGACAACAGCGTAGGAGGGGGCGATGAAAAGTTCTCGACTCGACATTCTTTCCAAAATCTGATCAAATAACTAACCAGACTATTTTAGGAAGGATGTTTTACTTGTGACAAAAAAAAAACTTTCAGTACTCTATCGTGATAATAGTAAATATAAATTTCGTGCATGTCATGATTTTTGAAAGAATGGGTAGACTCTCCCTGAACCCATAACGGGTGTATATGTAGGGCAGGATGTCTTGTGCAGGAATAGTTTGGTGGTACCCATCTATCTCCAAGCATGACCACTCCTAAGTGGTTCAACTTGGTCATGAATACATTATCATTGTAGGTTGTCAGACCCTTCCACCCTGGCTAGTGCACCTATCATGAAGATCACATATCCAGTAATATCATATTAACAATTCCATGCCTCAGATATTATTGGGTTACATGGTATGAACAGAAAGGGAAAGCCTCTGGCCTGGCACTCAGGTAGATTAGTTATAGCCATCCGCCCTTGTTGAGTAACAGAATGCCGGAAGCACAAAATCGAAACCACTGAGAGATGGTATGAGCACTAACCAGACACCGTTAGCCAAAATAACGGTGTAACTATCCTCTGGGATATGCCAATTCAAACTGACAGAGAAATAAAAGCCAACAGAGCTGATATTATCATAAAAGACAAAAAATCCAGGAAGTGTATGTTTATTGACATAGCAGTGCCATTTGAGAGAAACACCCCCATGAAAATTATCGAGAAATTGTCCAAATACAAGGACCTGGAGATCGAGATTAACAGGATGCGGGGAATGAAGACTGAGACTGTACCAATAGTAAAGGGAGCTCTGGGCCTCGTGAGAAAAGGAATGGAAAATCTTGGTAGCAGTGTCCCTGGTAACATCAACATACAAGTTGCCCAGAAGATCGTCCTACTAGGAACATCCCATATACTAAGTGCTATCGATTAAATGACAATTCTCCTATAGGGCCTAAGGACCATAGTTTGGACCCAGCTCTACACGATACAAGACAG